CAAGTCCACAAAACACATGTACACACATGGGCAAACTCCCATGCACCCTCAAGTATTCTTGAGAGGATAAAGAGCTGATCCAGTGTTCCCTGACCAGGACGAAAGCTGCATTGTTCCTCCTGCATCCAAGGTTCGACTAACAGACAGACTTTCCTCTCCAGCACCCTGGCATAGACTTTCCCCGGGTCCTGAGGAGTGTGATTCCCCTGTAGGTGCAACACACCCTCCATTTCTTAAAAATGGATACCACCACCCCGGTCTGCCAGTCCAGGGGTACTGCCCCTGATCTCGACGCAACATTGTAGAGGCGTGTCAACCAAGACAGCCCTACAACATCCAGAGCCTTCAGGAACTCGGGGCAGACCTCGTCCACCTCAGCAGCTCTGCCACCAAGCTCTGCTTCAGCCACGGAAAAGATGCCAGTGGGATTGAGTAGGTCCTCAAAGTATTCCTTCCACCACCCAACAATTTTCTCAGTTTAAGTCAGCAGCAGGACACCCGCACTATACACAGTGCAGGTAGAACTCCGCTTTCTCCTCCTGAGTCGCCTGACGGTTTGCCAGAATCTCTTCGAGGCAGTCCGAAAGTCTTTTTCCATGGCCTCTCCGAACTCCTCCCACACCAGAGTGTTTTCTTTAGCCACTGCCCACGCCGCATTCCGCTTGGCCTGTCAGTACCTATCAGCTGCCTCTGGAGTCCCACGGGATAACCGAGCCCGGTAGGACTCCTTCTTCAGCTTGGTGGCTCCCCTTACCTCTGGAGTCCCCATTTGGTTCAGGGATTGCCACCACGACAGGCACCAACTATCTTGCGGCCGCAGCTCAGTGCAGCAGCTTCGGCAATGGAGGTGCTGAACATGGTCCATCCGTACTCACTGTCCCCACTCTCCCTCGGAATGCCGTTGAAGCTCTGCCGGAGGTGTGAGTTGAAGATCTTGCGGACTGGGGCCTCTGCTAGGCGTTCCCATCACACCCTCACTGTACGTTTGGGCACGCCAGGTCTGTACAGCGCCCTCCCCCGCTAACCCCCGTATGTTGTCTAGGGTCTTTGCCTCCTGGTAGGGTCTCCCATGGCAAATTGGTCCTGGGTGAGGGACCAGACAAAGAGCAATTCAGGAGACCCCTATGACAAGACCATCGAGGGAACAGTTCACCCTGCCCAGGATAAGGTTACTGGGGCGCCAGGCCCGGGGAGGGTGCCCAAGGGCGAGCGTCTGGTGTCTGGGTCTTAGTCCATGGGGCCCGGCCGGGGACAGCCCAAAAAAGCGACATGGGCCCATCTTCCTGCAGGCCCACCACTCGCAGGAGGCACCATAGGGATCGCGAGCAATGTGAGGACCGATCCCCAGCTACCAAGACTGGCAATTGTGATCCAGCTTTTTTATTACAAAATTATTTTTGTTTCTGCTTGCTATCACCCTGTTACAACTACAGAGAAGATGAACCAAATGTAGGATGCTAGGTGAACAGTAAAGTCCAAAATCCAACTTTTTAAGTGCAGCAAAAGGTTTAGGCAGAGGACATCAATCAGTCAGGGAAACAAAGCGCAGAAGAGCAGAGTTTATATAACAAAAAAAGAACACTGTGAAAAGTGATGCACAAAGAGAATCACAGCCAAGAGGGTACAACCAAGAAGAGCAAGGCATGGAAACTGCAAAAGAAAGAAAAGTGAAGAATCATAAAAGAAGATATAAAAGAAGTGGAAGCTGGCTGACGAGAATGACAAAAGAATCTGACAGAAGGGCAACAACAAACTTAACAAAGAGCAGAAGATATAATCACTGTAATCCAAAACAATTGGTTATTTTAAAAGAAAACATAGAG